CAGACAGTCTAAAATAAACAGGAGAAACTGCTTGTATGGAGTACATTTGTTGGATGTGGTTTGAAAAGGACATATTTTTTATGTTTGTATTTTTTTAGCACTTTATTGTATTTGTGTTTTGCTGTGCCCTTTAAAGGGTGGGTCAAGAGGAGCTGGATGCTTTTGTTTTTACTTTTGTGTTGTTGATCTGAAAACTATAAAGACTAAAGGTTGATGCACAACCGGGTGTGAACCTAAACTCTAATATAAAAATGCACAAATGGATCAGTTTTGCACAGGCCCAGTGTATGTCAACTAGAAATCGAGTCGCCCTCCTGTGGCAGTGATTATGAAATGTATCCTCTTTTTAAAAAGAAAGTACTGTTTTTTGGCAAGGCATTGAGAGAATGGTAAGTTTTAGCATCATCAGACTTGATCTGTTTACAGAACATGCTAGCAGCACAGGTCTAGGGAAGTTTTTTCTCCAGTCTGCTGCAGAAAAAGCTATATACTCTTCTACAGTGTACAATTTGCAAATCTGGTGGATAATGTAATAATTGTCACCGTAAAGTGCAGGTATGTTACATGTAACATCTAAAAAGGTTGATATTATTTACAGCGTGAGTGTACAGTGAACATACAGTATATGTATAATTTGTTATATGTTTCATGTTTGTCATTCTTTGCTGCAGAAGGTGCTGATGCTAACCTCACCTGTGGCCATTTGAAATGACATTTGCCAATAATGTCAGTACAGGTGAAACCTGAACTCTCCAAGCTGAATGTCCGCTAATGAAAATCTGAGCCTGGTTGTAACTTCAGTTGTAAACTTCTATCCTCATGGAGTAAGTATTCCAGCCCCAACAACTCAAACTCAGCCACAGTTAAGCCATCACTGACTACTCATGTGTCTCTCTTTCCACCCCTCCTCCTCCACCCTGTGTCTGAACTTTTAAATAGCACCTAATGGCTCGCTGGCCAACAGCATGTACCGGTGACAGGTCTGTACAGGACTGAGCGGCAGCTGCTGTCGGTGTCGTATGAAGAGGAGAGTCTCACAGTTACAGATCGTATAGGCTCCTCAGGATGTTGCAATCCTCCTAAAACAGTTGAAAAAGCAATGGGACACTGCCTAATCTCATCACACCAGAAACTCTTGATGATCTAAGAAGCCTGGGCACTGATGTGTAGATCAGTAGGTGTGTGCCAGTTTCTCTGAATGTGACCCTCTCAGTCTAATGATCACAGAGGCACAGAGCCATTACAACAAGTGAGAAGGTGATAAATTCTCTGTTAGGCTCAACTGGAGAAAGTGAAGGGCAGAATGCATTTGACTGATTCAAAAACAACAAGGTAGAAGTCCTGTTTTTACTCATGAGTAGTTGCATGGTCTCAGTAGGCACTGGTTCAATAAACTTTATCTCACAATAAATATTTCTGCATATTTACTGTTTTTCATAAAACCACAACAGATGCTCACCGGCATCCACTTCAGTCCCCAACTCCAGCCAATCTCATTGTATCTAATTTTCTCTTAGTAACTGTACCATTTTACAGGCAATACCAACTTCTGTTGATACATGTGTTAGCTCAGATAACCAGAAGTACTCAGATTTTGCACCAACACTACAGTAAAAGCCCTGATACTACAATGTAGTAAAAGTCATAGAATCAAAAGTCTACCTAAGATTCTACAGTACAAAAGTATTATAACCAAAGTTTACTTCAATACTATATATTATATATGATTTTAGATTGTTAATACTCATGCATCAGGGTGTAGGCAGCATTTTACTGTTGCAGCTGCTCCAGATGAACCTATATATTCACTTGGGTGGTTTAATCCAGAGTTCCCAACCTAGGGGTGGAGCCCCATCATAGGGTCACTAGATAAATGTCAGGAGAAGAAGGTACTGACACACAAATGTGTACTTTTTACCTGACTTTTCTCTGTGTGAAATATTATATACACTCACCTCTTTGGGTTCCAAATTGTTATTTAAAAGAAGCCATGTCAGAAGTTCAGAGGAGAAATATCTGTTTGGTTGAACCTCTACAACTCATAGACATATGAAACATGACAAAGAGCCTAAACTAAAGGCAAAAACATAGGAAGCTATTGGTTTAATGTTTAACAGTGTTATATTTTATAAGCTTAATATGTAAAGTGCATAGTAATAGCTCTTAGACAAAAGCAGTGCAGAAAACCGCTACAATATTTTACTCTGATATGTATTAAGTAGTAGAAAATGGAAATGCTTAAGTAAAGTGCCTCAAAAGTGTACACAAGTACAGTACTTCACCAAATGTACTTAGTTTCTTTCTACCAGTGCAGATAATGTCTCTGAAATGTAAAATAAAGTATTGGAGGTGTTTCAAATAAACAAGTCATTTGAGTGATTCTACTGGCATGAAAATAATTTTCACTATGCATCAGATGTCAGAAATATCTGGGGCCAAGGTTAGAGCAGCTGCTCTGTCATCCTCCAAACTGGGACCCACCACCACCATCATCACACTGTAACCAACAACTGCATCTCCTTTCAAAACAACAACACTAAAGCTTTATTGGCAACCTGGTCTGAAAGTGTTCGCTGATCATTTTAACACTTTATTATTGTTGTGAGTTCTTTGCCGACTTGACAGACATTTTATTTTCCAGGTATGTTCGTTTACTTTTTACTTTCTGAAAGGTTTCCATCTTGAATTGTATGATATGGCACCGGTAAAATAGATACAGATTTAGATTTGGAGTGATGCACTCCCAAGTGCAGATTTGCTGATTAATTTGTGGTTGCCAGGTGGTGGTGGTGTGTGTGGGTCTTCATTCAAACAGAAAAACAAACTCTGTAGTGTCCGCCAGCAGTCATGTCAAACAGTGCTGTGAACCAGTGGCTGCCAGAGTGAAGAGGTGGCGTCATGTGCACACAAAAACACCAACCTGCATCCCTCACCAGCACATGTTATGTTTGCAGTTCTTTTGCTTCTCTTATGAGGGTATTTATAGGTGCTGACCCACACAACACGTGTGTTATACAGCTAAAGACTGCACAGACAAGGACAGATACAGTACAGTAATACTCCAATAGCAACTAGCAACTGCTTCACATTGTTTCCATTCAGCACTTAAATCTAAATATTAATATAAATTATTACTTTATATGATCTTAGCATGAGACGTACACATGGTCGGATTAGAAGGCAATGGGCCCCTGGGTACAGACGTGTAAAGGGCCTCTGCCTCTCCTACACTTCTTGGAGCAACCTTGTGATCTGCAGTGAGTTTGTGTCTCTTCCTCTTAGTTGTGCATCTCTTTTTAGTCATCTAGTGTTAATTTTTACTCATTTTGTATCTCTTTGTAAAAACATTGCAGCTATTTTTATTTTGTTTTGTCTATTTTGATATGCATTTTTAAGGTTCAGAGTTCTTCTTATTCTCTCCCTTGGAAGAAAGTGATTTGTTTTGGGAGTCATACCATCAATACCACAGCAAACAACAACACAATTTTAAAAACATCACAACACAATAAAAACAAGACACCAGTTTGTATAGTCCAGATCCAGCTGCACACCACCTGAGTTGTAACATTAGCAGAACCGATATAACGGGAACAGTGAAGTGGAATTACAGAATGGCTTGGCCATTGAACTGCATTCCAGCAAATCAAGACATGTGTCTAAAGTTTACAGTGTGACTTTTGAAGATAAATTTAGATATAATAAAAACAGCAGGACAATTTAGTGCTTATAGTGATTACATCTGCAAAGTGGGACTCTATATCTCCTTCCTTACTTTAGCAACTCATATTCAGAGTGCAACACATGAGAAGGATCATTACCAACCTTGGTGGCTTTCTTGGAAGTCTTGAAGATAATCTGAGGGTTGGTAGTGGAAAAGTTCCCATTATCTTCCATTGGGGTGGGGTGTTTAATGTCTTTTTAGTGGTGCATCTATTTTTTTCTAATTTTCCAGCTTTTTGTGGTTGTTCTGTCATCATTTGGGTGACTTTCCAATGGAAAGTTTAAGAGTCCCTTCAAAGTCTAGGGAACCCCTTGGGCCCATGGGTCTATATAGCCTTTGTCTGACTGGAAGATGTGAAGAGGTTTAATGAAATCTTGATGGAAATAAAAGTGCAGACTGAGATTTTAAACTACAAACATGCTTCGACTCACTTAGCTGCAATGCAATAAAATTAAATGTGTTTTACCTCTTTCTCCTGCCTGATTCCTGCTCTTCTTCCCTTCCTTGGCTCTCTCAGCGTCTCTCCCTGGGCTCTCTTTTATGTTCTTTCTTTTTTCTTTGTTGTTCTCTCACAGGTTCCTCATTACTTTGTCCCGCCGTCCTCTATCACAGAGTGCTGTGTGTGTGTGTAGTTGGTATCACAGGGGAAATCATGGCCACAACCAAAGCTGTGACGAATAATTCATCCCCCCACAGAATTCTAAACTCCAGCTATGCCTGGCGGAGTTCACATCACACCCTCCTCCCACATCCATTTCCAAATACAGGCACCCCTCATCACCCTCCCATCCAAAAATATCCCATAAGAGGCCAGCTCTCTTCTCCCCCAATCCCGCCTCACCCTCTCATGGCATGGGGGTTTTGGGTTTTAGATTTAGTTTCACTCCTATATCTGCTTTCTCTGTATGGCTCACTCATATACCAAGAAACCAAGAGAAACGCTCACCATGAGTTAGTATGAGCAGGTTTAACATGTTAGCTAATGTACCCCTATATTCCTAGTAGTAATATTCCTTTCAGACCTATTATAGCTACTAACAGTACATACTGGTGATGATTGTTTTAGGCTTCTGAGACATCAACTTTGCTTAAATTAATGCATTCAGATTATTTACTTATTTAAGTTTGATAATTATGGGCCCTGTTTATTTGTTTATGTTTTAGTATTTTCCATGAAATCAGATAAACTCGTACCAAATTGCTAATTTTGACATATGCTAATTTATAATTTTCAGTGACGTCAGAATAACAGACAATGTGGGACGTCGATTCTGACTCTGTTCCATTTCTCATGATTACTCTCTTACTGAGCAGACTTCATCTTTTCCCCTACAGCTCCCATTAATTTAATCTTAATGCACCTATTGACGTAGTTGTGCTTTTCAAACATGATATTTTTAATGAACCAAATTCGTGTGTCCTGCAGAAGGGGTGATTAAACTGGCGGAACTTCGTTTTTTTTCTGTTCGGTCAGGATGAAGTAGTTTCCGGGCGACAGGGTACCAGCAGTAAACATGGCGGAGGACCTGCTGGAAACAGTGGACAGGCTTCAGTCACGGCTCCTGGAGAATCCAGAGCCTCGAAAGGTAACAAATGGACTGGTCGAGGTGGACAGACTTTGTGTTAAACACCGACCATCTGCCAAAATGCGATCATTTATTTGTGCAGCCCGACACGAAGCCCGAGCACGGACGAACGGTTTTAAATGTTGCGTTCATGGGTCGCTGTCGGGCTCCGACTTCTCAAAGTCTTTGACGTAAAGGTGCATGCAGCTGCATTTTTGTCGGAAATAGTAATACCTTAGTAACAGTATTAGTTCTCTGTAGTGGATGCATTCATAAATCGATTGAATCAGTTATAAAGAAGAAGGTAAACAAGCGGCACAGAAATGATAACCAGAATAAATAGAAATTATAATATAAATATATAAATACAGATTTTGTGTACTATTTATCTACATTATATTTCATTGTACAGGGAAACACGTTTCCTTACTGTGCACATGACAATAAACCCTTGAGGCGAGTTTGAGTTGAGATTAGGTTGTAGTTAAGAAATATTTTCATCATTGATTATTTTCAGGTTATTTTCTTAATTAATCGTGTCTGTGAAATGTCAAGAAATAGTGAAAAAAGCCTCATACAATCTCACAGCACAATGCCATGTATAAAAATTGTTCAGTTTATTTGACCTTTAGTTCAAATCCCAAATATATTACAATTTTGACATAGAGAAGACAGAACCACTTTTTGTCAGTTTCATTTGAATAAAGAATTGATTAAAAGTTTGTCCGTAGTTTCCGCCTAATTGCAATCATTGCAGCTCTAATACAGATTGTTCATAGTGGGTCTGAAATAATTTCATGTCATCAGTTTGATTAATTTATTAATCATAAAGGTGACATTTAAAAATACCTACAGCAATCATATTGTCTGTAACATGTTTCATGTGTAAACTGAAAATCCTAAAATTTGATAGGCCTATATATAAAACTGAAGTTGAGCAAAATGCTTTTATAACTTAAAAATGCTCCTATGTGCAAAAGACATGTTTGTGTCTGAGAAGTAACTTAGTCTTTGTGATTTTGGGGTACTAGTGTGTGTGCTATGACTGGGGGCACTAATATGTATGTTGTTGTCTGTACATAGATGGGTTTAACAACGTATACTCTTTCAGTGTCTCCAGAGCAGCTTCAGGTCTCCTGTTGCAGGGAAGAAACATCGTTCTTCCAAAACATTGTCCCTCATTGTGTCCAACACATTCTTTCATACTCAATAAGCCATTCAGTAACCTAGAGCCATTAATGAGTGCATTGATAGAATTTAAACTGCAGTTGTTTTGAACCAAAAATCACCAACATGTTCTGGTCCCACCTTCTTTAATGTGAGGAACTGATGCTTTTCTTTGTAAGACATAATAATAAATGGGATATCTTTGGATCTGTTGGTTGGACAAAAAAAGCCATTAGAAGACACCACCTTTGACTCTGGAGTCAAAATGGACATTTTCCCAATCTTTGACATTCTGTGAATAAAATTAAATCAAATAATCAAAAAATAAAACTGGTTAATCAATGATCCCTGCATACTTTTAATTTCCACTAACCTATTCAGAATTTTCTTTTACTTTTTTCACCTGTCTGCATAAAACTAAAAACGAAATAACTATGTTGTTACAAAAATCAATTCTTAACCTTAATAATTTGGAAGGATCAAGCTCAAGATAAATACTTTGCTGCATAGGTTTATTAGATGAATCACCAGCGCTCGAGTTATAACTTTAGCATTTCCGAGAGCCAGTGAAAGCATCACATGAGACGTCACTATAATTAAGGGCTTTTAACTTGTTATAATCTCTTTGTTCTAACCACAGTTTAGTGAATACTAACACCCGTCAGCTCAGTGATACAACCGCTCGTGGATGTTTTGTCAGTTATTAAAATAATAAAGTAATCTATCCTCTAACGAAACTCGGAGCTAAGGTAGCCGTTAGCAAACCAGCTAACGCCAGTGCGGAAAGTTACGACAGCCACAGCTACTCCCGGCCTCTAATGTTAAACTGATTTAAGTTAGATTAAGGTAAACAACAACGGCTCATCACTGCACTGAGATCTGATGTTAAAATATGGTCATTTTAATGCGGTTCGTAATGACGATGTGCGACCTTCCTTTGTTTACTACTTGTGCTGAAACGCAGCTGCGCTTGCCAAAACAAAGCAGTCTTAATAGGTATGATAGGTTTGGTAAATATAAGTAAGGTTCTTCTTTCCAGAGGACATATATATA